GGTTGCGATCCGTTGCCGGACACGGAAAAAGACAAAAGACAAAAAAAAAAAAAAAGATTTTAATTATATTTAATAATATATTGATTCATACATTATTAATGATATATTTGATATTATTTAGTGATATATTAATAATATATTTAATTCTATTATTTTTCATAAGCAAAGATTTTACAGTTATACTGCTCTGTACTCAGAGCCTCAATGCATTTGGTTGTAAATTGGTGTAACATTTATGGAAAACATCTGGTAATAATGTATTTATGAACCTTAAATCATTCATATTTTCTGACCCAGTAATTTCACTTCCGTGAATCTATCTATCTTAAGGAAATTTGGGTCAGTCAAGTAGAACATGAATATTTATTGAGTACTTACTATGTGCCAGGTGCTGTGCTACATACTAAGGATGTGGAGCTGAGCAAAGTAGACACAGTGCCTGCCCTCACAGAGTATATCATCTGGTGGGGAAGACAGACAGTAAGCAAATAATTGTAGAAAGTAAATAATTACATGGGTGTAAAGTGAGATGTGGAGCTGAGCAAAGTAGACACAGTGCCTGCCCTCACAGAGTATATCATCTGGTGGGGGAAGACAGACAGTAAGCAAATAATTGTAGAAAGTAAATAATTACATGGGTGTAAAGTGGTCCACAGTAGAAATACCAGGTACTGTGACAGCATCAAACTGGAGGATCTAATCTAGTTTAAGGGCTCCAGGACATGAAGATTTATTTATTGGAACTAAAAATTATAAACAAACTACTTGTCTTAAGGTAGAAGACAGGTTAAATTATGCTACTAGAACAGCACTGTAGTTAAGCCTGTGGGCTCTAGAGGCAGACCACCTGAGTTCAAATCCTTTATCTGTCACTATTTAGCTGAGTGATCATGGGAAAATTAATTAATCCCTGCACTTCTCTATAAAATTAGAACCCTACCTACCTCACAGGGTCATTGTGAGAATTAGTAGAGTTCATATATTTAAAGTGCTTAGGATAGTATAAAGTGAATAATTGATAAATGTTAGATATTTTAAAAATCAAGTTTATATTAATATGACATAATATTGTATAGCCACTTGAAAATAATATTTCAAAGAATTAAAATTTTAAAATATAGACAAATAGTCTAGAAGAGTTTGTGATGAAAAGCATCAGTTTTCCTACCCAAAACACTGTATCCTCAGTTCCACTTCCTGAAGGCAACCTCTTTTAACTATTTCTGTTCTTTAGTTCTTTTGATGATGTTATAAAATCTTAATGTTGCTCTTATATCTCTCTTCGAGTTATCAATTTTTCACAATATTTGTATACTCTTTATTGGGAAAAAATGATACTGATACCACCTTTCTCCCTTCCCGCTACTCCCAAAATTTGATAATTGCATCATTATTTTTATTCCATTGATTACCTTTGGGTCTTTAAATAACATACCTATATTTCTTTTTCCACCGACTTTCTATTTATTTTATTTTTAATCAAAGAATACTTGTATGTAGTTTTAAAAGTCAACCCATACTATAAAGCTTATAAAGAAAACAGCAGTCTTCTGCTTCAACTTTCTTCATTCCCAAGTTACATTTAAATTTTTGTTAACCTTAGGTGCAGAGGGCTGAGTTATTCATACTCATTACACTAGCATCATTTATTATATGCAACCTCCTTCTATTTTATTTCATTCTTCTATTTGATCTCCATCTCTCTCTTCTGATAGACAGCTGCTCTAATATGTTTGATATGTATATTGAATTATTTTTATGTGCACTTTAGAATATGAAGAGCTTTTGTGTGTGCATATATTAGTAATTTATATAAATGTTATTGTGCTACAAACTTTTCCCTCATTCAGCACTGTGTTTTTAAGACCTGCCCATGCTGCTGTGTGTACATCTCATTTATTCTTTTAATTGCTGCATGGTGGACTAGGTGTGCATCCACCCCGTTTTACTTATTCTATCCTCAGCCTAAGAGGAGGCAATTATTTTCAATTCTTTTAACTATTCTTCTAATATTTATTTGCACAATTACAAATAATACATTCGTTCTGCTTCTATTTCTTGATTTTTTCAATTGGAGATATTATGTATTGATTTCCTACAATGGAAGTAAAGATTTAGGCTTCTTAACACAATCCCCTTCCAGCGGCCCCCTCAACTTCCCTTCTCCCCATCTTCCCGATGTAGCTATGTCTGAATTTTTGACTATGTCAATCTTTAGTGCTTTCATAATTAAGCTTATGTAAATACAGTTCAAAAAGAGCCATATTATCTGTCATTGTGACTCTTTTCTTGTACAACAGCACAGTGTTTAAGAGCAAGAACTATGGAACTCGACAGCAAAGGTTTGAATTCCAGCTCTGAAACTTATTAGCTGTGTGCCTTTGGACAAACTGCTTAACCTCTCTGTGCCTCTGTTTCTGAATATCTGATAGGGAATGTCTCAATTATTACGCCTACTTTATCTGAATTTTTCTGAGTATATTTTTTCAGATGAACTTTGAAATTATTTAGTAACATTTCTTCTTCAAATCCCATTGAGATTTTGATTTTGATAATGTCCAATTTATAGATTAATTTAGGAAAAAATTGACATTTTGCATCTTTTTCTCCAAAAACATAGTTTACCTTTATATTTACTTGTCATTATTTAGAAAATACTTATGACTACATTTTTATTGTAAAAAATCATAATAGATGAAATGAAACTCTCCTTTACTCGTGACCAATTCCAGTATATTTCGTAACTCACTTTCTTTTATTGATTGAATGATAAATTCTATGTTCCAGGATAAACCTTGCCTATTTCAACCTCCTAACATCCCCCAACACTCACTTTTGTTTTTTGTTGGCTCATGATCACTGATAATTCTTATCTCATCCTTACCTTTGCTTGCACATTTCCTTCTGTTTGGAATTCCTCCTTCTTCCCTTCTACCTTTTCATTCTATCTATTCTTTACGATTTCAGTTCCCATCTGCTCAATGAAACCTTCTACTCTCTCTAACCCATGATGCTTTTTCCCTTTGCTGAACATTTTCTGCACCCGAACATTCATTGTTTGTATTTTTTCTTAGGCTTTGACGTATTAACCAATTAGATTGTAAATTCCTTGTATGTCTTACTCTTATCTGTATTCTTCACAGTCCTTACCTGGCTACACAGGTGTTTATTAAGTTATTTTAGGATAAACAAGATGATATTGGAGGTTATCTGTCTAACTTTCTCATTTATTAGATGATAAAACTGTTGGGTGATTGGTTATCGTGTTTCATTATCATGTCCCCATTGCTTTTTCTCAGCTACCCAAACTGGTGAGAGAAGCCACCTTCCTCCCATAGATTTACACACATTGTACCCACAGCTCAGGCTGACATGGGAAGACATCAGAAGCAGCAATCTGGTTCAGCTGGTTACTAAGTTTGTAGCTTAAGAGATTTGAGGTATTAAATACTCTGGGTGTTCAAGATGTTCGTCTAATTTTATTAAGTGGAATTTTGTGAAGGAAACTTTTCTTTCTCAAGGACTAACATTAATATCACTTTTTGAAAACTAAAGGGTTTTTTTGTGAAAAATTTCAAAAGATTATTTTTATCCAGGAGACTTGGTATTTTGATTTGAATTGCAATTAATTTTGACAGTCTGAAGGACCTCTTGTGGCTGTTATTTTACTGGTTTCTGGAGAGTGAGATGAATCTTGCATCCTTTTTCAAATAGTACATAATATTTAAGGGGGAATTATTTTGCTGTTGGCAACACTAAAAACAGCCTTTCCCCTCCCTTTGGCTATTACGACAAGTGTGAAATTGATTTTTAATGGTAATGAAAGCAAACTACTCAAAGACTGTTAACACTTGAGGCAATTACATGTAATCTTTACTGTCTGCTTTACACAGGAGAAGCACGTGAACCTGTTACATATCGAGTCCCGAAAATCAAAGAGAAGAAACTCAGAATTTGAGGTTTTTGTTGACTGTGATATCAACAGAGAACAATTGAATGATATTTTTCATCTGTTGAAGTCTTATACTAATGTTCTCTCTGTGAATCCACCTGAAAATTTTGCTATAAAGGAAGACAGTAAGTTTGAAAATTGAAAATACTACTTAGAAGATTAAATACCTAACATGTATGTGTCCAATCTTAGATTCATCTTGAAGACATGAAAGTAGAAATAAAACACTATCTCTTCAAATTGCTTACAGTCTGGTAGTGAAGGGAACTCAAACTGTTGGTTCTCAAAATACTAAAGAAAAATTATAAAGCAACATTTGATCAAGTGTGAAAGAAGTGAAAAAGAACCCTTGAATATAAGACATAATTCAGAATAGTTAGGAATCAATTAGGTTATCTCTCAATTTCCAAATCGTCAAGTATTTTGTGATTCCACAAACCTCCAACTCACAATTCCTGAGCACTTAATAACTCTTACAGGGCTTAGCACCTAGCAAATCTTAAATGAATATTTGAATTTTTTGAGAATGTTGATGGTTGCTGACAACTGTGATGTGAAATGTACTATTTACAGCATTCCTTCCTGTCCCCGCTCCCACCAAAAGCAACTGAGAAAACAATAAAGCTTTCTAAGGTTTCAGATACTCAGATACCAAAGTTATAAACTAAAATCTCTATTTGTGGAAAAAATCCTTGTAGTTTATTTGAGGCAAAAGACAAATGGACAATTCAGCCACATTTTATATATGGTACTTAATCTAAAATAATCTCTTCAGATTATGTCACAATATTTGGGATATAATCCAGGCTGATATTCATCTATTATGCATTCATACAGCTGCATAAATATTAAAATATTGATATACCTTCACTTCTGGCTGAGAGAGAGCTACTTCTCTTCGTCCTTGAGTGCTTCCATGCTTTAAAAGCCTCTGTAGGGCCGGCCCGGTGGCGCACTGGAGAGTGCGCCGTCAATCTCTTCAGATTATGTCACAATATTTGGGATATAATCCAGGCTGATATTCATCTATTATGCATTCATACAGCTGCATAAATATTAAAATATTGATATACCTTCACTTCTGGCTGAGAGAGAGCTACTTCTCTTCGTCCTTGAGTGCTTCCATGCTTTAAAAGCCTCTGTAGGGCCGGCCCGGTGGCGCACTGGAGAGTGCACCGTCTGGGAGTGTGGCGGCGCTCCCGCTGAGGGTTCAGATCCCATGTGGAGACCGGTTCCCGCTCACTGGTTGAGCGCGGTGCGGACGCAACACTGAGGGTTGCAATCCCGTTGCCGGTCAGTAAAAAAGACAAAAAGGAAAACAAACAAACTAAAAAAAGCCTCTGTAGCTCCAGATCACCCCCTGGAGTCCCATGCCCACCATTAACAACTAAAAAGTTAACCCCTGGCAGAGCAGGAGCCTATGACTGCTGCTGCCTATTTTGAGTGGTTAGTGCCCCGGCTGAATATATTGTTAAATCTCTTGAATATCACTCCTTGGTATGTTAGAAAGAGCAATACACTGGAGCAAGAAGGATTGAGTTCTAGTCCTCTCTATTCCATTAGAAATGAGTTACCTTGGGTAAATTACTTTACCTCTCTGGAGTTTGGTTACCTCATCTGTAAAATGAAGAGTTTTACAGATGGCGAAATGGTTCAGTTGATAGTTAGGGTACACCAACTTGTGTCAGGTATTTTTACTGAGAAATGGGAATACAAAAATATATAGTCCCTACTCTATAGTTCCCAGCCTTTTGTGTAAGGCAGGCATATACATACATACACTATAATAAAACATAGTGAAAGCCTTTGAAAGTTAGAAAATATAAATGGCAAAAATATAAATGATTTGTAAGATTATTTTCATCAACAGAAATAAACATTCAAAGTTCTTATTAAAATTGCACCTTGGTCTGTAAATACAGTTATATATTATTCTGCTTTTGTGGGATAACTAAATATGTAGCTTAATTTATTTTTTTTAACTTTGATCTGTTACTAAAGTACAGTATTTCTTGACACTTGGGAAATCAACCTCAAAAAAATTTTAAAGCTTAAAAAGTTTGAGTAGGGCTGCCCGGTTAGCTCAGTTGGTTAAAGTGCAGCCTTGTAACACCAAGATCAAGGGTTTGGTTCCCCCTACCAGCCAGCCACCAAAAAAAAAATAATAATAATAATAAGTTTGAGTAAAATTTACTTCTTAGAAATAAAGCAGTTAACTTGTATAAAATTTGCCTCAGTGTACAAGCTAAAAGTAAAAATATTGTTCAAATGCATTAATTTTGTCTTCCTTATTGTCTTATTTAAGATGGTCTCTTCAACTTTTAGTGGTTTTTGTATTTTGCAGGTATGGAAACTCTTCCTTGGTTTCCAAAGAAGATTTCTGACCTGGACCATTGTGCCAACAGAGTTCTGATGTATGGATCTGAACTAGATGCAGACCATCCTGTAAATATTTTTAATAAATACTTTCATAAAAATAATTTAAAGTAAACTAAAAATTAAGGGCAACTTATTTATTGAGAAAATGTGTTTTCTAGACTAAATAGGATCTTGTTTTAATTTAGATTTCAGGAAGCATAAGTAGACCTCCATGTTGGTGGAATTGAGAGTAAACTGCCTGAAATGCACTTAACTTCATCGGCTCCCAAACATCTGTCCTATGCCTGGCATTCCTATTATTAAGAGCCATTCTAAGGGTTATACTAAAATGAAGACAGTGTCTTCAGTCAGTTTTTATTAAAATGGGCACATGTTATTGGAAAGGGGAATAAAGATGGGCCAGAGAAAAACCACCCACGCTGCCCAGCATGATTGGATTATTAAGGAAGTTGATAAACTAGGAAGTTGTTCCCTTGCAAAACTGCACAGTACAGGCAAGACTTGGAGAATTAGTAAATCCAGAGCATTAAGCTTACTAATAGAGTTCTAGGTTCCTGGGAGGGGAGGAGAGAAGAGGGTACAATTTTGGAGTCACACAGATCAGGACTTTAATCTAGCCTCCCCTACTTTTTAGCTCTGTGAATGTGACCTTATACTACCTTAGACAGCCACCAGCTGATCCATCCATTTATTCTATAATCTTACTGAGTTACTATTGCAACTAATTGCAGTACTTGCCCTGAAGGAGCTCACAGCTTAGTTAAAAAGCTAAAGCACACATATGTAAATAAATAAACACAAGATAAAATGTAAAAATTGCGCTGTGACATGAACAAATTACTTTGAAATATACACGAAAGCAAACACCTCCAAAGAGATCAAAGAAAGGTAACATTTCGATTGGGTCTTAAAAGATTTCGGCAGGTAGGAGATGGAGAGGGAGGACAATTCAGAGGGGACAATATGAGCAAAGGTTCAGAGGCAAGAACATCTGGGGCATGCCTATGAAAGATGAGTGCATCAGGTTTACTGATCTACAACCAAGTCCTGCTAATTTCTATCTCTGAAATATTTCTTAAGTTTGTTCTTTATTCATCCCTACTAGCACATCTCTTATCTGGTCTCCCTGCCTCCATCCTTGCCACCTTCAACCCCATCCTCCTTATAGTCAGTAGGATGATTTAAAACCTCAATATGACCATTAATCCCCCTTCTCTCTTAAAAATCACCAAAGGTTCCTATGTACATGCCTAAGAGAATTAAAAACATACAAGTATACTTCAAAAAGTTTGTGGAAAATAAAATTAAAATACAAATCTCTCCATGAACCTTTTCAAATACCCTCGTGTGTTCATACAAAAACTTGTATACAAATGTTCATAGCGGCATTATTCATAATAGTGAAAAAGTCCCAACTGTCCATCAGCTGACAAATGGATAATGTATAATATAGCCATGCAATGGAATATTATTGGCCATAAGAAGGCATGAAATATTGATAAGTGCTATAACATGGATGAACCTTAAAGACAGTATGATAAATGAAAGAAGTCAGTCACAAAAGGCCCCATATCGAGATGTCCAGAATAGGCAAATTCACAGAAACGCAAAGTAGATTACTGGTTGCAAGGGGCTGGCAGTGGGGATGGGGGAAATGGGGAATGATTGCTAATGAGTATGGTGTTTCTTTTTGGGGTCATAAAGTTTTCTGTAACTAGGTAGTGGAGATGGTTGTTCAACTCTGGATATACTATAGACCACTGAATGGTTATTTTATGGTATGTAAATTATATCTCTATAAAGTTGTTATTTTTTAAAAAAATCGCCAATGGATTCCCATTACCCAAGGCTAAAACCTTGAGTACTCAAGGCTAAGACCTTTAACTTGCAGTCACCTGACTAGTCTTCAACACACTCCACCTCACTCTCCAAGCTGCAGCACCACTGGATTGCTTGTATTTTCTTAGGCACAACACGCTGGTTTTCATCTCTGTGCTGTTATGGGTGCTGTCCTTTATGCCCTCTTCCACCCAGCTATCTCCACTCCTCTTTTGAGATTTAGCTCAGGAGTCGTCATTGGGAAGCCTTTCCAGAGCCATGTTATTCTCTTTTACATACACTGGATTATGAGTTTCTTGTTTGGGTTTGTGTGGCATTCTTTGCATATGTGTGCAATATCTGTGCAATATGACACTTATATTGTTTTACAATAATCAGTTCATGTAAACTCATTGAATCCCCAGATTGTGCTTTACTCATATTTGTTCCTCCAGATTTTAGCACAGGGCCAGGTGCGTAGTAGGGGCTCATAAGTCTGTATTAAAACATGAGTCTCGTTCTTTTTTTTCAGGTGTCTCCATCTCTCCTATAATTTGTATTATTAGCTATTTCCTCCTGGGCTTTGATTTTTGATTTCTTATTTTGTTTATTTTTAAAAAATATTTTTTATAAGTATAAATTCTAACATTGTTATTTTTTTAAATCATCATCACTTTTGCTTATTATGCAAGTGATGACTATGTTTGCATTTGGTGAAAAAAATCTAAGGCTAGATTCATTTGTCACTATTTCAAATATTATTAATTACTATCACATGTAAATATAACTGAAGATGTAGTCAAATGACGAAAAAAAAAACTTATCATTGGAAAAGAGCCATGTATTTAATTTAACTAAGGTGGTGCTTTCCCTATTCTTCAAACAATTTTATCTTTGTATCCACTAGGGTATCATTGTATGTCTAGTATCTTTTGTCTTTGTAGCCATTAGAGTTTAAAGTTGTCATGTAATATTGACTTTAAAATATAAATGATCATAAATCTCTAAACAGTGCTTGCTCATAGCAACAATTATGTATCTTTTTAACATGATAGCTCAAGTTATAAAATGTTTTCTAAATATCATTTGTCAAGTATTTTTTAGTATGGACTTTTAAAAACTTATCTTTAATTATCAGGGCTTCAAAGACAATGTCTACCGTAAAAGACGGAAGTATTTTGCAGACTTGGCCATGAACTATAAACAGTAAGTATGTTATAAAAATAATACATCCAATTTTGAGATAATAAAATGTATGAATAAATTGTGTTCATTTAATAAACAAAAAGTAAAATAAGTGTTACTGTTTATTGAATGCTAATTCAAATAATTTTCATGAACTATAAACAGTAAGTATGTTATAAAAATAATACATCCAATTTTGAGATAATAAAATATATGAATAAATTGTGTTCATTTAATAAACAAAAAGTAAAATAAGTGTTACTGTTTATTGAATGCTAATTCAAATAATTTTTTCCCTTTATCTCATTAGTGGACACCCCATTCCTAAGGTTGAATTCACTGAAGAGGAGATTAAGACCTGGGGAACTGTGTTCCGAGAGCTCAACAAACTCTATCCAACCCATGCTTGCAGAGAGTATCTCAGAAACTTACCTTTGCTTTCTAAACATTGTGGGTATCGGGAAGATAATATCCCACAATTGGAAGATGTCTCAAACTTTTTAAAAGGTAATGAACTAATTAATTTTTATAAGAGGAATGTTGAACTCTGTTCAGATCATGACAGCATGTTTAATAGAGGAAGAAAGTCTAGTTATATGGAAGATCAGACTCTTCTTGTACTGTCTTGGGGTATTGGATTCAGGATTGGGCGCCACATTTGAAGAGGAATAATCAGAACCTGGAGCAAGAGTAGAGGAAAGTGAGCAGAATTATAAGGGGATTTGAAAATACGGAGTAAGTACAATTTGAAGGACTCTTGGGGTGTTTAACCTGGAGATTTAGGGAACATTATAGCTTTATTTAAGTACGTGAAAGTCATCTTATATAATAGAGGGATTACTTTGTGACCTCCAAAGTAGAGAACTATTGGATGGAAACTACAAGATCTTGGCTCAAGGGAGAATACCTTATTAAAGGAGCCACTTGAAAATAGAATAGGCTCATGAGATGGTTAGTTTGCCCTCCACGGAGGTGTTCATGCAGACATTCCACATCCCCTTGTCATAGATGTGGTAAAGGAGATCCAAACATGTTGGGGAAGGTTGGAGTATTTGATATCTGAAGCCCCTTTCCACACTAAGATTCTATCATTTTTCTAAGGAAGATTTGCTAGTAGAGGCATAAACAAAGAGTAAGGACAATTTTGTTCCTTTTAGTTCTTCATACTTGTCTGGTCCAGGCCTTATTATTTTTTCTAGCATACATAGGAAGTAAAATGATCACTGAGTGATCTTCAGGGTATACAATATTTAAGAAAAATAAATATCCCTCTTTATCTCAGCAGATTAGAAATCTTAATTTAAAAGAAGTTGTGTTTTTTTAAACTCAGACAGAGGTTAGTTTATTCCCATCACGGTCTGAAATTGCTATATTTGAGTCTCTTACATAGACTGTTACAAAAAGCTACATATATTTTCAACTCCTTAATTCTAATTATTCAACAACTATACACAAAGCTAAGAAGATGTAAACAGGAAAGGGCTATATAGTTTCCACGAGGGAAGAAGTTATTTAAGTGGTTCCTACAAAAACTAGACTTGAAAAACATAGTAATTAAAGATGATAGAGAATCAATACATATGACCTTGCTGGACTTACAAACATGGACAAGCAAGTGCTACAAGTTGTTGTAAAATCAAATTTGCATGCAATTTGGAGGAAGTATTTTGTTATGAATACAAAACTGAAAGCTGTTCACTTGGGATCTGGAGCCTGGGCTGGCTGCAGAATGTGTTGCTGAAAGTCTTTCAAGGGCAAATGTCAAAGATTGAAACCAATACTAAAAGACAGTTCAAACAAAGCATCATTTGAAAGGGGCTACCTGCACTGTCAAATATGGTAGCCACTAGACACATGCAGTTGTTTGTTTGTTTGTTTATTTGGTGGTGGTACAAATTTTAAATAAAATAAATTTAAACCAAAGTGTTAGTTTCTCAGTCACACTAGCCACATCTCAAATGCTTGATAGCTACATGTGGCTAGTGGTTGCTTTATTGGACAGCACAGATATAAAACATTTCTATCATTGTGGAAAATTCTATTGGGCAGTGCATTTTACCCATCAGAGTGGGAGAATCCAAGTATAAAGCAACTGGATGGAAGTGGAATATTAGTCATGAAAGTTTGAAATGAAGGGCAAGATTGGAGCTTACAGGAGTCTTTGGAGCCACTGAAGCTTAGTGGCAGGTTCCTTTTACAGTATGCACGCAATCTTGGCTATTGGGGATGGAAGAGCACCATCCAGTTTAGATACAATAAAGGGACTACTTTATAAGAGATAGTGTTGGCTAATAATGGCATAGATTAAAAAATGGTTTTGATCTAAATTAATAGATCTTGTTGGTGAATACCTTTGAAAAGAAAATAAGATTTTGTAGGGGATATTCTAAACTCTTCAGAGAGACAGTAAGATGCAGTATAAAGAGACCTGGGTCCTCATCCTACCTTTATCATCTACTGTGTGGCTTTGGGCACATTACTGAGTCTCTGAGCCTCAGTTTTATTGTTGTCGCAATAAGGAGAAAAGTCCTTAACCTATATTGTAAGCATGAAAGGAGATGTGATATGTAAAATGACTAACTCATTGCCTGGCCATGGTAAGTGCTTAATAGTTATTAGTTGCCCTTAGTATGCATATGATAAGTGTTAGTTTCTATGTCCTCCCTCAAAGCGTCACTGGGTGTCACTGACAGAATTAAAATGCTGCAGGCAATGGTTTGTCTCATAAAGATTTTCTCTGTTTTCTCCTTTGCTTTGCAGAGCGCACAGGTTTTTCCATCCGTCCTGTGGCTGGTTACCTATCACCAAGAGATTTCTTATCAGGTTTAGCCTTTCGAGTTTTTCACTGCACTCAGTATGTGAGACACAGTTCAGATCCCCTCTATACCCCAGAGCCGTAAGTACTTCACTTCAGCCATGAAATGGTTATTTATAATAGTGGCACCTATCTCATGGTTTATTATTTTTTTATTTTTATTTTTTTTGAATATTAAATGAATTAACACATGTAAAGCATTTAGAATAGTGTCTGGCATATAGTACATGTTCCATGCTCTATACATGTTAGCCATTATTATTATCATTATTATTAATTGACAACCTGTGTGGTGCCAGGTGCTGTTCTCAGCATGGGGTATATAACACTGAAAAAAATCAGACAAAAATTCCTGCCTTCACAGAGCTTGTATTCCAGCGGGGGATACAGATAATAAACAAACAAGGAAATGTATGTGTGTATCATCTTAGCTGGAGATGAGGGCCATGGAGAAAAACAAAGCCGGAAAATGGGATGTATGCATGGGTGGGGGTGGGGGCGGTGCAGGGGTTGTTGCTGTTTTAAAATGGGTAATCAGGGAAGGTCTTGCTGAGAAGATGACATTTGAGCAGAGACCTGATTTGGGTGGGGGTGGGGAGGGCATGTGGATGTCTACCGGTATCCAATATGCACTTATATGTGTGTGTCTGTGAGTGGCCAAGATTTTGAATCAAAATTGTTTCTTTATTTGATTAGTGTCCTTTGTGATCCATCACCAAAGTAATACCACCTGATAATTAGAATAAAAGTAAGATTGGATTTTGATTTGATCGAATGATTGATTATGCATTTGTGCTAAGGATCACAGCATGACAAGCTTGTACCTTCCATCACCAAAGTAATACCACCTGATAATTAGAATAAAAGTAAGATTGGATTTTGATTTGATTGAATGATTGATTATGCATTTGTGCTAAGGATCACAGCATGACAAGCTTGTACCTTTATTTCAGAGATACCTGCCATGAACTCTTAGGTCATGTTCCTCTTTTGGCTGAACCTAGTTTTGCTCAGTTCTCCCAAGAAATTGGTCTGGCTTCTCTTGGCGCTTCAGAGGAGGCTGTTCAAAAACTGGCAACGGTATAAATCTGAATATAGCTGTATAGATCAGTAGTTCTCAACTGGGGGGGGGGTATATGTGTATTTGTGTAGTTTAAGGGTTCATATTCAAGATGACCATTAGAGAATATGTCTTTGCTCATAATATTTAATTTCATTTAAATAATCTAAGTAACAACATTAAAGAAAGATGTACAATTTTAAGGGTTTTCAAAAGGAGACCTGAGCTTTAAAAAGGCAGAGAAATACTTGATGACAATAATGTTAATAGATTGTATAGCTTTTATTTTCCAATAAAAATGACAGGTTCTATAAAATTTATGCTAAAAATATTTTTGAGCACTAGGTACAAGACACTGCTGGAAATACAAAGATGAGTAAGGCTTGGTCCTTGCCTTCAAAGAGCTTATATACCACATGAAGAGGCAGTTACATTAGAATGAGATAAAGTCTATAGGGAAGTTCAGATAAAATGCTTTGGGAGTGCGGAGAACTGTTTGGGGGAGGTTTCATGGAAGAAGGACATCTGCACTAGCCCATGAAGAGTGAGTAATGTTTTTATGAGCAAAAAAGGAAGGAAGGGCCGAGCCCGTGGCGCACTCAGGAGAGTGTGGTGCTGGGAGCGCAGAGACTCTCCCGCCGCGGGTTCGGATCCTATATGGGAATGGCCGGTGCGCTCACTGGATGAGCATGGTGTGGGCCACACCACACCAAGGGTTGCGATCCCCTTACTGGTCACGAAAAAAAAAAAAAAAAAAAAAAAAAAAAAGGAAGGAAGAGCATCTCAAGATGAGGGCACACAAGAAAAGACAAGGAGGTGCTTGGTGTGTCTGGGGAAATGACAAGAAGCTGGAACAGCGTGTGTGTGTTGGGAGGGTGGTGGGGAGGTGGCATGAAATAGGCTAGATGTTAGAACAGTGCTTCTCAAATTGTGGTTTGGAGACCCCTGGGGTCCCTGAGACCCATTCATGGGGTACTAGAGGTCAAAATCATGCATAGGTAAAAGGTCCATTCAAAGTGCAAAGTAGATTTTAATTTAACAAACAGAGTTCATTGCCAGAGTTCAGATTCCACATTGCATATGAACTTTAAGAAACTACCCCTTGTTCAGTTTTGATGTAATGTCAAGGAAGCATATTCACAATTATCTGAAAAGTCTGTTAGAATACTCAACCCTTTTCCAACTACATAACTGTGCAGAGCTGAATTTTTTTCATATACTTTAAGCAAAACAACATATTGCAGCAGGTTAAATACAGAAGCAGATATGACAATCCATCTGTCTTCTAGACAAACATTAAATAATGTCTAGCCAGACATTAAAAAGATTTTTAACAATGTTGTTAATTAGCTTGATTCAAACATTCCACACTGTATACATATATCCTCACATCACCAGGTACCCTGTAATTATATACAATTATACTTTGTCAAAAAATAAAATTAAAAAAAAATTGTGACAATGTAAAACAATGCTACTTTTCTTAACTTTTTTTGTTTGGTACAATATAGTTATTTTTATTAAAGTGTTTTTATGTTATCACAAAATGGGCTTATTATATTTTAAAGTGAGTTAGTAAACATTTAAATGTTTTCTCAGTTTTAATTTTTAACATGATTAGTATAGCTAGCTATAACCTATACAAATAAAGGATCTTTGGGGTCCTTGGTAATTTTTAATTGTGTATGAGAATCCTCAGAAAAAAAATTTGAGAAATCCTGGTTTAAAATGAGGCTAGATTGAAGAAAGACTTATGAACTAGGCTGGGGGTCTTGGGCTTTTTTCTGGGCTACTTTGGGTCAGTGACAAAGTTGAAATTTGTTTTAAATTGAGTCGTTCAGGATTTGAAAGTAATATTGATGTACATTTGCAGTGCTACTTTTTCACTGTGGAGTTTGGTCTGTGTAAACAAGATGGGCACCTGAGAGTCTTTGGCGCTGGCTTACTTTCTTCTATCAGTGAACTCAAAGTAAGAGTTATAAATCTTTGCACATAACCATATTTACATAGTATAATTGATACAACCTGAAGTAGTTTTTGTGTTGAACAAGAGCTTACTGTGGAAAATACTTCGGGTAGCAGTAACCATTATTTGAAGGCATATTTTCCGAGTTTTCTGAATATATATTTTATATATATAGAGATCATTCCACACTGTACACATATATGATAACCTCACTGTGTACCCTATAATTACATACAATTATGCTCTGTCAAAAAATAAAATTACAATAAAAAGATTTATAACAGTGTAAAACAATGCTACTTTTCTCACTTTGTTTTGTAAAATATAGTTATTTTTATTAAAATGTTATTATGTTACCATAAAATGGGTTTATTATATTTTAAAGTTATTAGTAAACATTTAAAATTTTAGTAAACATTTAAAATATACAAATTTGGAAAATAGAGAAAAATGCTTTCAAGTAATGTTACTGCCACCCTAAATATGTATGTATGTTTATATATGTCAGAAACGCTTTTTATTTAAAACACTTTTTATTTAAAAGATACTATATCATATTATTATATACTTTTTTTGGTAATGGCTTTAGTGAAATATAATTCACATACCATACAATTTACTGACCATCCATTTTTAATAGAAAAGTTGTTTGACCCAGTGGGTAGATCTGGTCTCAGCCTGACTCTCTCAGCCCCAATCCTTCTTGAGTAAAATGACCTTTATGATCACTTAGAATACCTCCATGAGTATTATCGTTAAGAAAGGAGGATATCAGAGGCAGAAAAATTTCCCTAGTAATACCAGGATAGATATATACATGACTACTTTGGGTTTTTTACCTGTGTGGGATTCCAGGACTCTCTCAGCATGTAGTGTAGGGACGTAGGTCAGACTGATTGCGTGCATATTTAATAAAGACTTGTCCTTTGCCCAGTGTGTGAAATAGGTGTTCTGTTGCTTATTTAGTTTTTATCATTTACCCCCTAGAAATTGATTGTCTATTATTTGTTTTCTTAAACAGAGAATTTACCAAAACAATTAAGCGCCCATTTGGAGTGAAGTATAATCCATATACACGGAGTATTCAGATCCTGAAAGACACCAAGAGCATTACCAGCGCCATGAATGAGCTGCGACATGATCTTGATGTTGTCAGTGATGCCCTTGCTCAAGTCAGCAGGCAACTGAGTATCTGACATTTGCCAGCCCTAATCCAGAAAGCACTTGAGAATTAATTCAGAGGCCTGTAGGCCAACTCTTGCTTTTCTTGAAGACCTGACTGTGGAGGGACAGCAGCTTCTGGCCAAATTATATTCTCTAATCCTACTCCTTAATGAACTACCAGTCTGGAAATTTGCACCTGTACACTCTGCTACCCATTTTTTTGGTTTTGTTTGTTTGTTTAGGGCTTTTTTTGGTAATGGCTTTAGTGAAATATAATTCACATACCATACAATTTACTGACCATCCATTTTTAATAGAAAAGTTGTTTGACCCAATGGGTAGATCTGGTCTCAGCCTGACTCTCTCAGCCCCAATCCTTCTTGAGTAAAATGACCTTTATGATCACTTAGAATACCTCCATGAGTATTATTGAGTAGACCCATATTGTTCCTTGAGATCCCCTTATTTCTAAAGTATCTGTTACTTACCTCTGAATTTGTGCCAAGCTCAATTACATTCACACACCTAAATTTGATGGGAGATCGGTTGTCTTCACTGCTAGCATGAGCAAAAGCAGAGGCCTTTGTACATGGAGTATACCTAGTAAAGAGCAAGTAGTCTGGATTCAAATGTAGTGTCTTGTAGGGAAATAGGAGTCGCTAAGTCTGGAAAGGTTGATTGGAGCATAATCCTTAAGACTGGGCTATGAATTGGGGACTTTATTTTGTAGGCACTAGGGAGCAGGGCCGGCCCATGGCTCACTCGGTAGAGTGCGGTGCTGATAACACCAAGGCCACGGGTTCGGATCCTATATAGGGATGGCCGGTTTGCTCACTGGCTGAGCGTGGTGCTGACAACACCAAGCCAAGGGTTGAGATCCCCTTACCGGTCATCTTTTAAAAAAACAAACAAACAAAAAAAAAAAAACAGGCAGTGTTACAGGAGGGAATTATAGCTAAGTATAGGTTTAAACAACTAAAACTAGTAATAGCAGTAAAATTAACAATGTGACATTCCAGAAGGCAATTTGTAAAAAGCTAAGTCAATCCACCAACAAACAGCTTGCCCTTAGTAAACATTTTCTTTTCTACATACTTTCTACAGCAATTTCTTTAGCATATTTAAATAGCATTCAAGCAGTTTTTTTTAACATATCTAAAGAACAATCAGTAGGTTAAATAGTCAATAGTTAGTCAAGCTGGAATCAAACCAGCAACCTAAAACAATCAAAGTATACAATCCCATCCCTAAACAGTGATTAGAATTGATTAGATTGCTTTTGCCAACCTTATCTGTGGACTGTCGTACCCTACTCAAGAGCCTTTTGGCTCATTCATGCATTACCTAAAAATCCAAGGAGAATCAAGATTTCTAACCCACTACACAGGTATCATGAAGGGATTGTCCTCAGGCTAGCAGGAGGCAGTGTTGTCAAAGGAAGAGTTCAAATTGAGGCAGATGAGAGAAGCACAAAGTTCAAGTAGGGAAAGCAGGGCTGAGTACTTTATTTCCAATGTATAAGGTGAGGCCATAAATAGGAAGGCAAGCAATGAGAGTAGAGTTTGGGGAAAAGGGGGAGGAAATGGAATGTTAGAAAGGTCAGTAAGAGTAGTTTAGGACTGAGACTGTAAATAATGCGAGAGTTGCAAGGATTGGTTTTTATGTGGTTTCAGCTGTGTAGCACAGTAAACAGTCCTGTTATAAATGGGTCAAGCTGGACTCCCAAATACATACTTGTCTCTCTTTAATTTGCTCCTTTCCTCTCCCTATCCACTAAATGAAGATGTTCCTCAAGTTTCTGTCTTTGGCCTCTTTTCTGCTGTCTCTTCATGGGCAATATCCTTCAATTCTTATTTTGGATGACTTCTATATTTACACTTCTAACCCTGACATCTTTCTTGAATTTTTGCCTCTTAATTCCAACTGCCTGCTGGATATTTCCATCTAGACATCCCATAAATTGGCCAATGTTGTACAACTTCATGTGGCACCATTCACATAGAACAAAATGGGGTTGTGCAATGTGGCAGCCCTGCCAAGTATTTCAAATTCGACACATCCAAAACGGAACTTAGAATCACCTAAGTTTTACACCCCATCAGCCTCCTCTCCCAGTGATCTAATTTCTGTTAATGGTATATTAAGGGTCATATTTTTAGCCAGTTTTCCAGGTCTTTAGCTACTTAAAAAGCTGTGCCCTTATCTTTTTTTTACATTAGTAGTCAAATTGTATACCATTTAATATGTTTTATTTCAACAGACCACTAGATCATTTAATCCTTTTTAGACCTCAAAAGAAATTATAAAAAACTTTAAAAAATGTATTTAATTTCACGTTATACTAGGAAATAGTTTTGAAGAGTAACTCATGCTATTTTAGATTTTTATATTACTTATAAATTTTAATAGCTAATCAACTGCTAAGTATACATTTAATCTGTTAGCTAATCTGAAATCATTTGAAATATTGATTAGCTAGTTTTTAGTTAGTCTATTTGGTTCCAAGGATATCTGTTTGTAGGCAAACCATAATAGATGGCAAATAACAGGAAATTATACATACTGTGTCTGGTTATTTTCATAGTTATTAAATTTTACAGTGATAGTGTTTAAAAATCACATTGTGATGAAAGCACACAAAAATAAATGCTAAAGGCACAACCCTATAATTCACAACTTCAGAACAATGGAAATATTTAATGATGGATTTCAGTTCTTTCTTCTAACCTCTGGATTTGTGGTATTTGGTAAAACAGAAGTCCTGAGAGTCTTAGAATTTTCATGCATTTAAAATATTCAGATCATTAGGCCGGCCCGTGGCTCACTCGGTAGAGTGTGGTGCTGATAACACCAAGGCCGCGGGTTCGGATCCTACATAGGGATGGCCGGTTCGCTCACTGGCTGAGCGTGGTGCTGACAACACCAAGCCAAGGGTTGAGATCCCCTTACCGGTCATCTTTTAAAACAAAACAAAAAAAAAAAATTCAGATCATCTAGGAATATGTTAATAGTTCCTCAAATATGAGAACAAAATTGAACTGAAGGCTTGTTTCATAATTCTTAATCAATGAATCATTACTCAAAGACACAGTATCCTCTGACTTTGTGAAGAAAGCTCAAAAAGCCAGTTATCAGAATGCCTATATTTCTTAATCTGTATATTTTGTCATCCAAAGTTATACAAGTAGTAATGGCACACCAAAATGTATGTAATTATTGTTAATTCTTAAGTTTGCTTCCAAATTGAAAAAAAGAAAAAAATCCTGGAGTTCTCTAAAGGAACATATAATACAGTCCTTCTAGGAAGTGTGTAAAGATACTGTGGTCTATTTAAGTCCATTCATTGTTTTACTATGTAATATACGTTTATGATTTGCAGGTTTGTTACTCAACTGGATAATAACACAGAACTCATGTTCTCAACATTTATTTTTTTGTCAAACATACATTAAAAACTGATTTAAATTTATATTAGCAATTTTATTAACTTAAGAAATCCATCACATCCTTATTACTCTTAAAAAGCCTATGAATATGCTTTATGTCCATATAAATATATACAATAGAAGCCAAACACACCTTGAACTTAGTAACCACTTTTCAGAGTTCTTCGTAAAGTCTCAGTTTCATCTTCCTTATCTGTAAAATGAGCTAAATATACTGCACTGACTTGTTAAGATGAATTATGCTGTGAGAGGACTTTGTACAAAGAAATTTTATTTTCAACACGTAAGGAATCATTAATATAATCACTCTATTAATTAAGGTTCCCCCATGGCTTTTGGATAATTTTATCTTCCTCTAGAGGGCATTAATTTTTGGTTCTAGCAGGCATGTGAAGATCTTTAGTACAATTAGAGATTAAACCAATGAGAAGCTGAACTTCGGTCTGTGTTGCCTGGTCTTATTTCCAGTTCATCTCTACTCTTAGGGTGTATCTCTTTAGGGATTCTGAGTGAAAGCTATGAGTGTGTACCAGGGCTTCTTGTTGGGGACCTTGGACTCCTACTTTTGTCCCCTCCTTTTTTTTTTTCTTTTTTCTTTTTTTACATTTTAATTAGTTATTATTTTTATATTCTAAGATGTTCCGGAGCAGTTGTGGGGGAGGGGGAGAGGGGAAAGGGGAGGGGGAGGGGGTGGAGGAGAATGGGGGGGTGGTCAATGCCCCCTCATGGTGGCACCCCCCTCATGCTGGCAGGGGAGCCCAGGGGGTTTCTGGCGGCTCCTTGGCCATGGCTTGGCTGCATGCGGACTTTAGGGAGGGTGTGGCTGAGGCCCTGCGCAGGCTGCCCCGCTCCTCGCCAGGAGCCCGGGGCACTTCTGGCAGGATGCAGACATGGAGGGGGCGTGGCTGAGGCCCTAGGAACCCCACCTGTCCCACCTTCATTGTTACCGTCCCTCCCCCCAACCCCAACCCCCAAGAGATAGCTAAAAGTTTCTCAGCTGCTGCTTTCAGCTCGGTGTTTTAGCCTGCAACACACTGCTTGCTAATTAGCAAGTGCTTCAAGAAGAAAAGTAATGCCAAATATAATCTCTCAGCTTCTAGGTCTTGGCCCTTCGACTTCTTGCTGCTTTGATAGCTCTCCAATGACTTGGAACGGATTTTAAGAATATTTTCTGGCAGCTTTTCTAGTTGTTTTTGTGAAAGAATTGGTCTGCAGATAGTTTATCTTCCTTTATCAAAAGCAGAAAACTGACCTTGGAGTAAATCATTTAACTTCTTTGAGCTTCAGTTTTCTCATCCATAGGGTAATTAATGATCCTAACAATAATTATACCAGTATTATCGGGAAGGTCTAATAAAATAATAAAATAGAAAAAACTTCCTAACCCATATGGTACAGAAATATAGTCTGTATGGCCCCAAATATTTTACACTTTCCTTGTGAGGAGGGACAAGGCATCTGAAGTGATACCATCAAATAGTTTAAATCTAGCTCCATTCGAGAACTGCAACTCAACCAGGCTGCATATGGGAAGAATTAGTCAGAGGCATGTACATAGTTGAAATAGTTGCAACATCTCAACATTTCCAAGAAACTGCATTAAGTGATGTAACATAGTCATATAACTGTAGGTTAGCTAAGGTATTGAACATATGCACACTGAAGGGGTGAGAGTGGAAAACAACTGTATTCTTCCAGACCCTCTCTCTGTTAAAACTGGCTTTGTAGGTAATTCTTCCTTCGTTCTTTGGGT